GGTAACTTCTGCATGTTCAAGTTTTAATTTTCGATTGGTTGTCCCGAGCTGCAGGGGCCAGAGCGCCTAGGCGCTCATGCTTGAGCCGGCGGCGACTGGATTGTCGTCCGCTTTGCTCTCTCTGCTTTCCCTCTCTCTATCATATATGTTAAAATATTAGGTAAGCAGGCTATTAGCTTGCTACTGTACCTTCTCTGAGAGTACCCGCAATGGTAAAGTAAGGTGCTCTTTATAAAACATGTACATCTCAGCAATAGACTCGATTAATAGTAACCCACATTAATAGTATGTCTATATTGGTATCTATAGCTCTATCATGCATTGCCTCGTTTTTCTCTATAGACTATCTCTAAGTTATAGATAGCTTTGCTCTCTCTCTTTATTTAATACCTTTAAAGTAGAAAAATATACTGACATGAATCTTTTGTAGAGAGTTTATAGATAACCATTTGTAGGTGGACTGAGTGACAGCAGCCACAAGCTCATAGAAGTCAGAGTGTCAGACCAATTGGTTTGCCAAACGGTCACGCTGCCACCGCCCGGTGGGCCCCACTTGCAGCGTCCCACCGCATCGCCACGCTGGCAAATCCCACCTCCCTCCCCACCACCCAGCCACCCACCTCTTCTCCTTCCTTCCCCCCCTCGACTCCCCACCACCAAATTCCCCCTCAAACCCTAGCTAGCTCCACCTCCTCCTCCTCCTTCGAAACCCTAGCCTCACCACCCCCCGCCACGAGGGAGGAGCGAGCGGCGCAGTGGTGGACGGCGGCGGCGGCGGGATGGAGGGGCCCAAGAGGTCGCAGCTGAGGGTGCGGCTCCGCGTGACGGCGCGGCGGAGGGGCGGCGACGGCGGCGCGGACGGCGGAGGGAGCGGGGGCGGAGGCGGCGGGGCCGGGGGCAGGAAGCGGCTGCTGGACGCGCCGGCCTTCAACTCGGCCGCGAAGCTGCAGCGGCGCGAGATCGGGGGCAGGCAGCTCGCCGCGCGCGGCGGGGGCGCCGCGTCCGCCGTGCCCGAGCGGTTCCGGAACATGCATCTCCAGGTAAAACACCGGTGGGTGGCGCCGCCGCGGATGGTCTAGGCGGCTGGTTGGTGTGGCGGGGCGGGGCGGGCCGCGTGATTTGGTAGGGTTCGTCCATGTCGCTCGTTGGGAGAAGGCGGTGGAGCCTAGGGTTTGCGTGCGTCGCACATAGATCCAGATGAAAATAATTGCACTAGAGGCTTCCTCGCGTTGGAGAATTTTTGGGGTTTCAAGGGAAAAGGTTTCGGTTTGGGGAACTCTGCTAGTTCAGGGCTCTTGCCAATGTCAGAATTTTGGAAACTGAGATGCCTTCTAAGGCTATTGAATGTGTACCTAGTCTTATTAAAATTTGTAATTTGGTATAATTTGTGGTGAACTGGTGATTAACATATGTGTGTTTCAAGCTATGGTTCTAAGGGTTTGTTAGGTTGGGGCGTTCCCTTTTTTAGTATATATGTTCATGTAGCTGTTGAAATTGAGCGGCAATATTGATTATTTACAATAGGGTCTTTGGATTGAGGTTCAAGTTATTCAATTAGTAGACTAGTTGGTTCCTGTCATTTCAACCAGAGCTTTAGTTCAAGACGAGAATATGCTTAATGGTTTTGAATTAACATTTCAGCTATCATGGTAGAGTTCTTTGTGTCTCTAAGTTGTTGATTTCATTCTTATTTAGCTGGAAGTTGTGGGTGCTGGAACATGTGTAGCACCACAATTTTCTTGTATTAGTTATTTGGGATTATTCTTTGAGCTATTCAGTTAGCGTTCTTGGGCTTCCTCAGTTTGTTCACGATATTCTAGTGCAAGATGGTTTGGCTTGAACTGCTAAACACTGCAGAAACTCATCCTGAAACAATTGAGTTGCTTGGCACGGATCATTTTGGCTGATACAAACTTGAAAATTGCTTTGATGCTATTTTTCTTTCATGATCTTGTTTTGCCCTGTCTGAAAAGTTAGAAGTTAGTAATACATTTGGAGCTGTTAGGTGTTCCAGATCAGCTAGCTTGATTTTGTTGTGCTTGCATTAGGTTGGATTTGAAGTATTTCATACTTATTCATGCACTTTTTTTATGCAATAGTTAATTCAAACTGTCAAATCTGATATGAGCTGTTTTGATTACACAATGCCGTGCCCTGATTCTTGCCATGTATAGGTTGCATTTTTGCCCAATCTTGTGCTTGAAGTATCAAAATGACATATTGTTTATGACCTAGATATTTGAATTTGAGTAAGGTTCTTTGGATGTAAAATGATAATTCCTGCGGTGAGAGTTTAGCTTAGTAATTCCTTTTGTTATGTACCATTTTACTGTGATCAGTGTTAACATTATACTTCTTTGTTGGATCCAGGAAGAGTTCGATACGTATGATCACAATGCCCACCTATTTGTGAAGCTGCAGTTTCTTAAAAAGAGATCCAAAATAATTGAGATTGTTGCAGCAAAAGATATCATATTTGCTCTTGCGCACTCTGGGTTGTGTGCTGCTTTTAGTCGAGGTAGAGATTCTTCATATGAAAAACGAGGTTTCTATTGGGAAAAGTGTTATATATGTTCTCTTATCTTTGGCATTATATTTGTGTCTGCAGTTACAAATAAGCGCATATCCTTCCTGAATTTAAGCCCAGATGAAGTCATCCGGAGCTTGTTCTACAACAAGAACAATGATTCACTTATTACTGTGTCTGTTTATGCGTCAGACCATTTTAGCACATTGAAGTGCAGAACAACCCCAATCGAGTAAGATCCCATGCAGCAAACAATTTCTCCTGAAATCCTGAATTCTTCAAGTTCTGTGTTTGACTTGCCAAGAAGCACTTCTTCGCTGTTGTATTCGATTTGATTATTCAACCGCTATTTGTGAGTTGCACAACTTACGATGGTTCTCGGTCTCAACTAATATATGTTTCTCATATGAAAACATTATTTTCAGGTATATAAGGAGGAATCAGTTAGATGCTGGGTTTCCTCTTTTTGAAACAGAATCTCTGAAGTGGCCTGGCTTTGTGGAGTTTGATGATGTGAATGGAAAAGTACTCACCTACTCAGCTCAGGATGGGTATGCTCTTGAACAGTTACATAAAATGGTGATTTCTTTTCATCTCACAGAAGTTGTTCAAACTTTTACCCTTGTATTTGCAGTATCTATAAGGTCTTCGATTTGAAGAATTACTCTTTTCTATATTCAATACCTGACACCAATGTGCAGGAGATAAAAATAAGGTATTTGGTTTTTTTCAGTGTTTATATTTATATATCTGACATAACTCCATGATGCTAAATATGACCTTTTAAAATTTCTCTCTTCAGTCCAGGAATCATGCTCTTGATATATGAAAGAACACCATGTCATGTTCCTTTGAAGATATTGTCAATTGAAGATGGAAGACCACTAAAATCCTTCACGCATTTGTTGCACCGTAATAAGAAAATTGATTTTATCGAGCAATTCAATGAAAAGCTCCTTGTCAAGCAAGAAGATGAGAACCTTCAGATACTTGATGTACGACGCAGTTCATGTAACCTTTTTTTTTTGTTTCTGTTGACATGCCTAACAATTTATTGGTACTTGTGAAGGTACGGAGTTCTGAGCTAATTGAAGTCAGTGTTACCAAGTTTATGACTCCATCAGCATTCATTTTTCTGTACGAGAACAATCTCTTCTTGACATTCCGAAACAGGACGGTTGCTGTATGGAATTTTCGAGGAGAGCTCGTGACCTCATTTGAAGACCATTTGCTTTGGCATCAAGATTGTAGCACCAACAATATCTACATTACCAGTGATCAGGATCTGATTATCTCATACTGCAAATCTGAGGCAGGGGTTGATGATGGTACAGGTACACTACTCAGTCTCAAACGCTGATTGCTTGAATTAATTAATTTTTCATTTTTACTGTATTTTGTGTGGTAAGGAACTGTGTCCGTGCATTATTAGTCCATACAAGCCAGTTGTGCTGCCCATTGTTGCCTGTATGGTTCAAGTTGAATGTGGCATAGGCTTGTATGCCCGTGTCAATCACTTTACCAGGAATGATAAATTTGGTAGAGTTTTCACCAGTTTTCATATAATTGGTAGTGAGAAATTACCTTTAAAAGATCTATCTTATGTCAATTGCAGTACCTCCAATTGGGTCTATCAACATGAGTGACATTATGACTGGCAAATGCATCGCCAAGATTGCTGCTAATGATCCCACCCTCCGTATTGGCCCTCGCAAGAATGGTAACTCTGAGAGGTCCTCAATTTGGAGCACCATTCCAGAAGCTCTTGAAGATGTCACAGCGCTTTTTTATGACGAGGACAGGAATGAGATCTATACTGGCAACAGGCATGGGCTGGTGCATGTGTGGTCCAACTAGGTTGTAATATGTATATGTACATACGCCCTTTTCGATTTGACCAGAAGATTGGATTAGCCATTGTGCACCATCATCCCCTGCCTGGTGATCACCTTAGTTTTTGTATTTTTGGTCTTTTGGCAAAGAATGTTATTCCCTTGTCAGTCAAGAGAAAAATGTAGTTACCCTGTATATATCTTTTGTAATGCCCTGTCATATACCATGTTCTTGGCAGCTGGCCTCTCTGTCCCAACCACGAAACATCTGGCAGGAACCATCTAACTAATTAAGCTTCTCATTCCTTTCGGTGTTTATTCTTCGAAAGAATTGGCGCAGCAACATTGCGTTCACTTTATCTTTGAGCATTTGGAAGATATCTATGCTCCATAGAATGTACCATTTTTTTCTGACCCCAAGGTTCTAGACTAATGGCAGACCTGCTTGAGCGGCCAGAATTCAGGATGGATCTACCACAAGTCCACAAACTAGAAATTTAGTTCAGCCGGTGTATCAATATTTGATCAACCGTGACAAATGCTAGTATCAGATATGTGTTCTGCAGTATGAAGATCGGATGATTATTAACTAAATCACATTACAAAACTGGGGCATGGCAGAACATGGTGTAGTCGTGATATGCATCAGGTGATGATTGATTTAATCACATTACAAAATTGGGACATGGCAGAACATAGTGTATCTGGCAAAACATCAGCACGAGCGCACAACGTTATTTTCTTATAAATAAACATTTCTTCGGAAAATCCAAGTTGGACTAACCCCACGGTACTGATATTTGCCACCTTCAGAACAAAAATTCAAAATAAAATTACATGAAACGCAGAGACAAACAAAAGCCTAGATATGTACATTAGACTAACCAAGATTGCGAAGAAAGCCTTCAACAAATTGAACATTCTAACCAAGGAGTTCTGGGATACTCGGAAGCAAAAGGGGAATACAACGGTCAGTAGTTCTTGTTGGGCACGAAGAAATCGAACGTAACGTCGACGCTGCCTGATGTTTCTCCAGTGTCCTTGAAGTCAACACCTACGATCTTCCCTCTGTACTGCTCTTCAGATTCCTGGTACTCAGGCTTGACACGGCGAACAGGAACGGTCACAGAATATACTGTGCCAAGGCCAGCATCAGTTGAGATATCCACCTGGACGTTGTCTCGTGATTCTATCTCCACGAATTCAGAGAGTGCCTCAACGATGTTCTCAACAATCTTCTTCTTTGCCTCGTCACTCACTTCACACCTGTCGGAGAACAGTATCATCTTAAGCCTCTGCTTTGCGATGTTTGCATTAGAGTTCTCCTTAATGCTTGGTGCTGGGAAGATTATCTTCCATGCTAATTTCAGACGATCAAGAAACCCCATGTTAACAATGTTGTGAAGAAAGCCTTCCACCTCTTGAGCAATAGGAGAGAAGTCATTCCTTGAAAGAGCAAAAGTCTGAATGGAGCTCTTTGAACAGCTTTGGTGCTCAATGCCTAGATGCTTAGGAGTAAGCATGATGTTGCAAGATCGTCCACGAGGAAATGAACTAAACTGTGCCTACAGAAGTAGAGGTAAAGTCGTTAGCTAATAATCCACTGAAATATGCTATTCCATAGAAAAAAAACAACTCTATGATGCAAAGAATATCCAATGTGAATGCAATCTAAAGCTGAGAATTATATGCAACTACACATTCAAGAATCAAGACAAACCAGAAATTTTCATTAGATTATGATTTTCAACCATTACGGAGAAGTTCAAACAAGGTTACTCCAAAGAGTTTACAATAGGAAAAGAAACATGGTACGCGTGTGTGAATGCACTATATGCTTTGCCAAAATTCAAGTTCGGCATCACTACCAGTACCAGTGTCAATCCAAGCAGGATCTGTTAGCACATTAAACAATTCAAGAAGAGTCTTTGCTACAATAGTCTCAGCAGCATATCTATGAAAATAATAGTGGAGTTAGCACATTTGGTCGCTTCATTCCAAAAGTCATCCAATATTAAATTGAGCAGAACCAGAACAGCACAAGAGCATGGTAGAATGATACACACTTTTGAGTTGTTATTAAGCATTTGAAACAGTTACCATTCAGAAACCAACCAAACAAAAACTTTATAATTTGCTCAGAACTCCTATAGGCAAGAATGGGACAAGCAACTAATGTGCTATCCTGACCTACTGTAATATGACTAATACTCATCTCAGGAGGTATAAAACAAAGGTTATTTAAGACTGAGATATAGAAAGATAGGCTGTATGCCAAATCCTAAATAAGAACATTGTCATTTCCAGTTCACACCCATATTTGACAACACAGTTAGGTTTTCACTCTCTTCAAACATCTAATATTAACTCATAACAGCAGATGTGCTTCGAAAACATTTGACTACACGAGACACCCAGGCCAGCATTTTGTGTCTACACCTAGCAATTACACTTGCTTGTACGCTAACACAAACTAGACCAGAGGTCGCAAATGTATAGCTGCGTCTTCCGCAGCTTTACATATCAAATTTCACAGCTTGACTAATATCTAAATCCCAACAGTTCCTCGTGAACCTCGCGACAGACCAGAATCAGAGCACACCAAAACCGCCGCTTTGGTAACGAATTCTAGTATTCTACAGCACTAGATCCAAGAGGATGTTGGAATCGAGAACGCTCAACATGAAAAATCTCCTCTCTCATTATTTTTTTCTCCTCCCCATTCCCCACCCCCACCCCCAAAACGAGGTGCAGCGGCACAATCTTTTGTTCCTTCAAAAAACAAAAAGAGGTACGAATCTATCATCTCATCTTCATCAGCGCGCAGGGATCCGAGATGGCATCCGGCCACGGGGAGACCCAACCTCCTCCATCTTATCTAGGGTTTTGGGGGGAGGGGAAAGAAGAAGAGATGGAGACCGGACCTTGGAGCTGGTGGCGGGGTTGCGCCGGCGCGGGGCGGGGAGGACGGAGGCGGACGGGGCGAGCACCGCGCCGGGCTCGCCGCCGAAGCCGGCGGAGATCGACGTCGCCATTGCCATGGCAGCTAGGGTTTGGTCTCCAGTGAGTCTCTGCTCCACTCTTGGTTGGACTTGGGATGGGAATGGAATTGGAAAGGTGGTGGCGTAGTGGTCACCTCAACTGGGGTACAACCGACAGTGGGGCCCACTGGTCAGTCTCACGTGTGGCCCTGGCTGGACGGAGAACAGTAGGTGGCTAGTACTCCCTCCGTCCCGGTTTAGCTGTCGCTGGGGTGTAGAGTTTGTCCCAGAAAGAGGATCGTTTAGGCGTAGGGCAGCTAGCAGGCTAGCCACTAGTATGAGTACTTCTATTAATTTTCTTCCCCATGCTGGTTGCAGACATATCAGAATGACAGGCGCAGTACTAGTTTTGTGTTAATTTTTAAGCATTGAAATGATTAATGTAGGGGCACGTTGGTCATTTTTCCAGCACCATATTTTGTCATCTCTTTCCTAGAACGACTAGTAAACTGGGACAGAGGGAGTACTTGGCGTACTTGCATATTTTTCCTATAGGAGAAAACACATTTTGTGCTAAGAATATACAAAACGATAAAAATATGGCGTTAGTTTTTTCTTTACAAATATGTTATTTTTGGTCCATCTGATCCAAATTAAGATTCATACCAGGTCCTAGTGAAACAAAATTAAAGCGTGCAAGCGCAAGGAATCGAGCTCAAGACCTTCTGGTTGGTAAACATCATGTGTTCGTCATGCAATCAAGCTGCCGTTTTTGAATTGAAACTAAATTTACATTCTACTTGTTGGAGATGAACCAAATCATTTCAATGTGCAAACTACAATTCACTAACCAGCAAACATATTTCACAAAATTAACCCTTCATCTTCGCATGAACTTTGAGAATTGTTTCAACTAGCAAATCAACAGCGTACCTACAACAAACACATGCACACAAGACACGGTGATTTACGTGAAAAAACCTTCTCAGTGTAAGGAATGAAAAACCACGGGACAAAATGGTTCACTCCAAGCTTCCACTATAATCAACAATAAGTACGATTCGAGTCTTCTCTAGAACATTTAGAGGCACATTACAACAGCAGTTATACCATCAAGTTACATACTTGTCAATCATCAACATCAACCATAACAACTAACAAGAGTTATAACAATAACAAGCAGAGAAATATCAGATTCTGTCCTCTTCGGTTCTCAACTAACATCTCCCAAACCATATATGCGAGTTACATGAAACTTGGTAGAAATGATGGTTTATGAGTCCCTTCCAAGCTGTCCAAAAACAGCCCAATCGGACACTGTTTGATCCCTCAAACTGACATCTACTAAATGATGCACAAGCTGAAACTATAGTCACTCGAGCTAACAAACCACTACTCAAATCCGGTGCTCTACTCAACCAATTCTCACACAAACTGTCTAGATTGAAGTCCTCAAAGTGAGGAACGAACTCACCAAATTTGGTGCCAAACCAACCACGTTTGAGTCTCTACTCGCTGCCTTGATGAAGATCGGATAAGAGCCACCAAGCTAAATAAACTGCAACTCTTCTTCTCCACTCTCCTCTCACTCTTTTGTGTTTTGTTGGTTTCTTCTCCTCTTCAATGGCTGCTGCTCTCCGCTCTCTCAATGGAGACTAAGGTTTTTCTTCCCATCACAAATGATGAGGCAATCTCCACCACTGATCAAGACATGAATCAATGACTCACATTTGTTGGACTTTTGGGTTGCAATGGGTTGAGAGCAACGGCTCCATGTGGAAGGAATTTAGCCCAACACTACTTATACCCCACTTACACCCTAATTACAATGTAGTTATATGAAAATTACACTACACTTACATTTGATAGATTTTTCTTAAATAAATTGTCGTCATATTTATAGATAGACCTAAGAATATATTCACTCTGGTAAACAATATTGTCCGTTGAGGACAACATTTGGTAAACTTGTAAAAATATCTGTCCTAATTTTAGAAGTTTGATAAACTATACTAATTAAGGCACCTGTAGCTATTGGGAATTATTAAGGCACTTATTAGAAATGCCAGGATTTTCCTAAATCTTCTCATAGTCAAACTAATTCACGTGAAAATCATGAAATATCCTTGTGAAATTCTCCGTTCTTCCAGTTTTCTTTTCCTTTTTGCGTACAGCCTTTGGTTAGAAACAGAGTGATGCTTCTGGAGTCTATCTCAACTTTTCAGACCTTCGCAACCAGCACTCGTGTGAGTATTGGATCTCAAAAGGAAAATCCTAATGTGAACATTATATTGGACTTATGAAAAACGATACATGTAGATTTGTCTTGGTAGGCTTACACTCAACATGCTGCAATACAAAAGTGTGGTCCGTTTACTCATTCGTGACTCTGTACTCATAATCCAAATCCAATTTATTTATCGGATGCAATTTCAATTAATCTTTGCATACAAACCGCGAAAATGCTAAATTATATTTTGAGAAACCATGTCAACATCAAAACATCACATACTCGATGATTGCGAATTTGCCACATCCCTGCTGCCTACTTAACTTCTGCAAAATGAAATGTTTTCACCAATCAATAGTCCCATTTACAGTCATAATAGGCACAACCGCAATGTAAGCATAATCAGAGTACAAAGGGGCCAGGCCAACTGTATTTGGAAAAACTCATTTGCATTGGTATAAAATGGCTCATCGATTCCTTGAAAGATTTAGAGACATATAAACATGATCTGTACATACGCATTCAGCGATTTTTACGCGCTTTACTTTAGTTACCATAATCAGTATACATGTAGTCATGCAGAGCATTCATGGTGACGCCGAAAGGAGTGCTGGATTACAACTACAGCTACTCATCATCTGTTGAGGGTTACTGACAAGGCAACAGATAGTATGAACCATGCCAGGAAAAAGTAGCCAACCAGCTTTGTTGGGAACTCATCTTCTGGTTCCTGCTCATATAATCAAACATCATTCTGATTATTCATATGCTTTGATGAGAGAAGATAACAGATATTTTCGGAGAACCGTAAACCATTTTATTTGAAATTTTTTGAATGAAAGAAATGAGCTGTTTGGAGAAGACACTGATGAATTTGCTTATGGACAGATTATCTTAAAAATGACTGTTCTAAATAGGTGCAATACCTTTGGAGGATCTGGTGCTAGCTCCATGGGATCGACTTCGAAAGGCCAGACATATCGCTCAGGCTTTCCACTTCTTGCCAAACTCCAATCGTATAATCTTCTCTCTTCCTCGGTCCATAGTATGGTAAAAGATTCCTGCCATGATGCAGTAATGTTTTGTTTAGGAGGCACTGGAATTGAATGGGTGAAGACTGAAGAAAAGGTTATTGACTGATTTTGCATCTGAACCTTTAGGAGGTCATGCTCCTTGTTGATTTCCTCTTCTTCCAATCCTTTGCTATTCAGTTCTTCGCACTTCTTCTCGTAGGCGGCTTTAACCTGATTTAAGGATTGAAGTCCGGTATTCTAGAGTGACAGTACTAGCAGAGCACCAGAAGTACAATTGAAAGCATACTGGCTAGCTAGCTAATTACCAAATAAGGACATCGATGACACACTGAATATGAAACTAGGTTCATTCTTGAAGTATACTACAGAAAATTGTGTTGGTAAATTAAGATCTAACTGCAAATCTAAGCTAACTTTTTTATTTTATTACTCCCTCCGTTTCACAATGTAAGTCATTCTAGCATTTTCCACATTCATATTGATGTTAATGAATCTAGATAAATATATATGTCTAGAACTTTAGATTCATTAACATCAATATGAATGTGGGAAATGCTAGAATGACTTATATTGTGAAACGGAGGGAGTATTTATTTAATGGATATTATACACACCAGAGATTTCACTTAGAGAATCCAATGTGGAATGGAACTTGAAAGTCTATTATAAACGTGTACTACTGTAACAATTCTGTCTGTTTGATGACACACAAAATCAGTATCGACATCATTCTGAATCCAATGGGTCCATTCACCCCAAAAGAACTCAATGGATCAAAAATTCCAACCAAACATTGCACAGCTAATTAAGATACTATACATCCTATTTCCTATTATTAGGACTAGAATGATTCATCGCCTAATTGTTTTCCGAGACATTTCAATGCAAATATAGCATCATAGAGTGGCTAGACAATACCCAACTCCAGTATTGCACATGATGCATGTCCATCATTGACCATAATCAGAGGAAGCCAGGGATTAGTAAAATATTTTGTGGATGCAAGCATATCGCTGGTAAAATTGCAACGCGCTGCGTGGTATTTTGATTTCAGTGTACCTCATCGGTAGAAGCTGATCTGGTGATCCCAAGCCTCCCATAATGATCACATTCTGTGATTGCTGCAAATGATTGTAAAAAAAAAAAAACTCTTAAGTATCGACAGTTTACAACAGAAGAACTTGTATCTATGTTCAGCAATTCCTGGCTAAAAACAGCACATCTTCAAGAGTAGCTCCTGTATTTCACCTAGCATTTCTTGCAAATAGGGAAATTTAACTACACTACTCTGCGGCCTCGGTTCATTATTATGCTATATTTTCTACAAATTATAAGAGGCGCACAGATAAACATTGGTAAATATAATGGTATAATTAGAATATCTGCAAAGTTGTACAACTAATACTCTTAGCATGATAAAAAAATACAGAACCCAAAATTAACTGATTGCTAAGCAATGGCGTCAACCAAGAAACGCGCACGTACCGAGGCCGCGCATCGCCTTCTGCACGTTGTCGGCGGAGATGAGCGAGTACGGCGGCCGCGTCGACGTCGCGGCGCCGCCGGCGACGTCCGTCCCGGCCTCGGGGTCCCCCTCCACGGCTTCCGCCACCGCCGCCGCCGCCGCGGCGTCCTCGGGGGCGGCCGTGGCGCCGCCGTCTTCCGCGGCGGCGGCGCACCGGGCGCGGAACGACGCCGCGGAGGAGGAGACACGGCCGAGGGGGAGGCGGACGCGGCGGCGCGGGGACGAGGTGGAGGCGGCGGCCACGGCGGGCGGCGCCGGCGGGGAGACGACGCCAACGGCAGCCATGGCGGGGAGTGGAGAGTGTGGAGCGCGGGAGATAAGGGAGGTGGGGATGGAAATAAAAGTTTTTGAGCCCTTTTGTTTTTCTCTGTTTTCAATTTCTCCTATTTTCTTATATTTACTACTAGTATTGTTTTTTATATTTATATGTTTTTAAAACATAGTATAAAACTATAAATACAGACGCTCATAAGTGTGCACACTAACCGCTAAGAATGTTGTGCGAGTTAAAAATTTTCATATATACTAAGGAGCAAGAAAATGTTGTTAAATTCTAATAGAAAATAATTATTTACTAGACTTTTTTTAAACTATTATTTATTAGACTTAAACATCTTAAAACCCAAAACTAACTTTTCGAAAATTATATTCCAAGCATTCTTTTACGAGTCGCAATTGGAAAATTAAATGAAAATATTTAAACTAAATCAACCTTAAGTGGGTCAAGAAATAAAGGGTTTTTGATGGTGTTTCATTCTTTTTATTAATATATTTGGATTTATTTCATATTTCAATACATTCGAATCCATTATTTCACACATTGTAACAAAATATTTCAAGTTGGGTTTGATTGTGTTTCAACATATTCAACATTGAAATATTTTTATGTAAGGTGGTTTCAATTTTTGTCTTTGATTCGTTGTGGATTTGTTAATGTTTCACTAATTGAACTTTGATGTTCCATGTTTCATAACAAATTGTTTCACTCTATGATTCAACTTTGTTTCATCATTTAAATTTAAAACATATGTTAAGTTTGTGGTGAAACATTTTTCTTACACGTGTTAAGCTAGTGGTGAAACATTTTGCTGAAACATCGTCCATTTTTTTACAACAAAAATGGGGCGGACGATATGTACCTCTCCGTTAAAAAAAAATCAAATTCTAGTTATGAACTTAGACATATGCGTGTTAGATTCATAGCTTGTTTTTTTTGGGACGGAGCAGGGTTCGACTTACCGCCGGTAACCGCGCGGTTACCGCGGGGTACAGTAATATAAATACCGCGGTAACCTCCTTAAATTCAAATAAATTTAAAAAATAATTTAAATTTTTGATAAATTTTGCACGGTTTCGTACGGTTTTTCACGGTTATCGCGATTACCGTGCGGTAACCGTGCTTACCACGGGGCGCGGTAACCCCGGCCCCGGCGGTTCGGGAAAGCCTGGACGGAGTAGTAGGTGCTTCGATGACTTTGTTGAAGAGAACATGTCCGACCAACCGGCCCCACTCTCAGCGACTCCCTCCGCCGCCGGCCTCACTCACTCACCCACCCATGGCCTCGCCGCTCGCCGGCGTCGCCGGGCTCGGGCCCGCCGCCGCCTCCCTCTCGCTGGCCCCTGGCCCTCTCCCCCCTCCTCCGACACCTCCGCCTCGCTCCTCCCCCCCTCCTCTGCCTCCTCCTCTCCAGCCCCACCGCCGCCGCCGCCGCCGCCGCCGACCCATGCCGTAACTCCGCCGCGTCCCCGCGCCTCGCATCGTTTTAGCGGCTGCTTGGGGGCGCTTGGGCTTGACCCGATCTGGTGCTCGTCAGTGCTCGCGCCGCGGGTGCCGTGCCGGTGCTCGGGTTACAGGGATTACAGCCGGCCGTGCTCCTGATCTCCGGCTGCGACCTCAGCAACGTCGCATGCTTCGACAGGTGATCTCATATATCGAAAGTTCAATTGCCTGGTCGTGCACACTTACTAGGGAAATTTTGGGGGAATTTCTTGTGATGCATTTGCTGAGTTGTAGTAGTAGACTTATAGTGAAGCTAGACGGTTCAAATATATGGGTTTGTTAGGGATTTAGTGGGGATAAATTGGTGCTGTTGGAGATTTTGGACTATATTCATGAGAATTTTAGTGCATTTGGTTTGCTAAAGAATCATTGCTTCTTTTTTCTTTGTTGCATACCAATAAGAGTCATGGGATTGTGCTGTTCAAACTTGTCATCAAACCAAACGCACCCAAGTCGTTTTGGATAAAAGGCCTGAGAACGCACCCAAGTCGTCGATAGTTGACCGTATGATTTTAGCCAAGAAAGGGCAATGAGGATGAATACCTTCTTGACTTGGAAAGGTGACGCATTCTATTTGTAGTACCAGACAGTGATTATTGCACACCTTTGATGTGTGCAATAATCTCGTTGATTTGCTGCAAGTTAAAGCAGCTGAGCTACGTAGCTAAGCAGGTAGCCATGGAGCGGCACGGCTGTAGTCGCCACCGCCATTGCTCCTTCGTCCTGCTCATCGTCGTGGTGGTGGTGGCCTACCTCCTCGTCGGTGTCGTCCCTGCATTGCAGGCTTCAGTAATCGCCGAGGATGATGGCCGTGCTCTCATGCAGTTCCAGTCCCTCATCACGGAGGACCCGTATGGGGCCTTGGCGACATGGGGTGGCAGCAGCGGCAGCAACCACTCTGCCTCACCGGCGACGCCATGCGGGTGGTGTGGTGTGACGTGTGGGGTGCGCGGGCGTAGCCGTGGGCGTGTCACGGCGCTAGACCTCCGCGGGCTCGGCCTAGGAGGCGCCATCGTCGCCCAATCGTCCCTGTCCAGCCTCACCTACCTCCGGTGGCTTGACCTCTCCCAGAACCGCCTGTGTGGTGGCGTCCCCACACCGCTGCCACTCTCCCTCGAGTACCTCAACCTCAGTTGTAACGCGCTGCAGGGGACGGTGTCCTCAGAGCTTGGGTCGCTTCGCCGCCTCCGGGTGCTCGTCCTCGACACCAACAACCTCACCGGCGGCATCCCTGCCTCCCTCGGAAACCTCACCTCCCTCACCGATCTCGCCCTCACCGGCAATCACCTCAGCAGCCACATCCCCAGTGCCCTCGGCAACCTCCGTGCCCTCACCAGCCTCTACTTGAACGACAACATGCTCGAGGGATCCATACCCCTCTCGGTGTTCAACCTCCTCTCTGTAGCATTGTCACGCCAGAGCATTCATCATCAGACTCGGGCGCGGAAGGAAGGATCAAATCAAGTGGGCCGTCGACTACCGCTCGGCCCAGACGGGAGAGGCGCGACAACCTGCGCGTGAAGGGGAAGGATTGGGTCCAGTAGCTTCTGGCTAAGTCTATAAATAGATTACCCTTGTACTGAAAGAAGTGAACTGTATCCCCTTCTCCAAGTCTGTATCTGCTCTGTTCTTCTCTGTTCTTCTCTATTCCTTCCAAATTCCAGATTCTATCTCTAATTCTTCTTGCTGAGATCTCGGTTCGTAACATCTTGGTATCAGAGCTCGTTTCCATCCTGGAGAAGCCAAGGTTCTAGACGCGGCTACAGCTTCAAGTCGATGCCATGGAGAAACAAGCGGGAGGATTCGAGAAGATGCTCGAGGGAATCCAGAACGCCATCGGCGCTGTTGCGGTGAAGCAGGATGAAACACAAGCGGTGGTGCTCCAGATGGATAAAGCGATGGCTAGCTGGCGACCTCAAGTGGATGCAGCAGTCAAGGGACTTCAATCTGAGATGGGTGAGCTGAAGAAACAAGTGGAGATTCTGGAGAAGCTTCGTGGCGAGTTGGGCAATTCGTCGAACATGTTGCAGGCAGGCGCCATCTCCACGCGGAAGCAAGGCGACGACAACGATCAACGTCCACCGCTACTTCCCACGCCGGAGTCGTTCGTTGCTTCGACGTTGGCGGGAGATTCTGGCTCAAATGGCCACCGCGTTGCAATCAACAACCGGGGGAAGGCAACAGGAGTGATTATTCCTCCTGTGCCACCTCAGGTCACGGGTACGACTAATTCTCCATTTTCCCATCGCTTTGCTTGTGATTCATTGCATCGGGATGAAGTTGGGGGTTCTGAGGATCGAGGCTATAATCATCGGGTTCCGAAATTGGATTTTCCACAGTTTGATGGGGTAGATCCACAAAATTGGCGCATGAGATGTGAGCATTACTTTGGGGTTTATGGTACTCATCCAATACTTTGGGTCAGGGTGGCTACCATTTACTTTACTGGAAGAGCAGCCTCATGGTTACGCTCGTCGAAGGCTCATTTGCGGTTTTCTGAGTGGTCGAATTTTTGCTTAGCAGTGGATAGGAAATTTGATCGAGATAGGCATCAGATGTTGATTCGTCAGATAGAGCAGATTAAGCAAACCGGGACGGTGGAGGAGTTTTATGAGCGCTTTGATGATGTTACGAATCAATTGCTTGCTTTTGATCCTATGTACAATCAGCTCACGATTGTGCATAGGTTCACTGAAGGGTTGCGTTTTGACATTCGTCATGCTGTTATGATGCAACGTCCTCGCGACCTAGAGACTGCTCTGGCTATTGCTTGTTTACAGGAGGAATGGACGGAGACTCAGAAGCCCAAGGAATTTCGTAAATTGGGTGATCATGTTCTGCGGATTAAAGGAGCTTATCCTCTTCCACTTCCTCCTAGCAAGGTGTCGGAATCTAGTGCAGGGGCTGGCAAGTCTTCATCTGAACCTGTCAAGACTACTGCTATTGCTGACAGAATGCGAGCTCTCAAGGCTCATCGGCGAGCCCAAGGTCTCTGTTATCTTTGTGCAGAGAAATGGTCACTATCTCACAAGTGTTCAAGTTCTGTGCAGTTGAATGCTGTGCAGGAGGTGTTTGCTCTACTGCAACAAAATGACAGTGATTCTGGTGATTCTTCTGGAGAGGATACTGAGCCTCATTCTCTGTTCTCCTTGTCAGTCCATGCTATTCAGGGTACAACTACTGCTCAAACTATGCGTCAAACTATGCGTTTGCAAGGGATTATTCAGGGCTATGATATTCTAATTCTAGTAGACTCTGGCAGTTCCTGCAGTTTCATCAGTTTGTCAGTGATGCCTCAGTTGTCGAACTTGATACAGTTGCCTGTTTCTTTTCAAGTTAAGGTGGCTAATGGACAAATGTTGTCTTGTGAAACTGAATTGGCTAATGTTTCTTGGTCAGTTCAGGGACATCATTTTTGTTCTGCCTTGAAGGTGTTACCACTTCAGAGTTATGATATGATTTTAGGAATGGATTGGTTGGAGCGATACAGCCCTATGGATATTGACTGGCAGCAGAAGACAATTCGGTTTACATTGGATGGCCAGTTGATTACTTTATGTGGGGTGGTTCCATCAGTATCTGCTAATCCTGTCTTATCGGTACTGGAGTTACATCAATTGTATCAGTCCGGTTCTATTGAAGGTCTAGTTCAGTTATACACCCTTGATTCTGAGTCTAGTTCTGATTTGCCAATTCCGGACAATATTCAGCAATTGTTACAGAGCTTTGCGGATGTGTTTCAAGAACCACAAGGACTTCCTCCTGTTCGGGAATATGATCACACTATTCCGTTAATTCCTGGTGCGCAACCAGTTAATGTTCGCCCTTATCGTTATACACCGTTGCAGAAGGATGAAATTGAACGCCAAGTTGCTGATATATTGGACAGAGGTATCATCAAACCCAGTTCAAGTCCTTTCTCTTCTCCGGTTCTTTTGGTCAAAAAGAAAGATGGTTCTTGGTGGTTTTGCGTTGATTATCGCCATCTTAATGCGATTACTGTCAAAAACAAATATCCTTTGCCTATAATTGATGAACTCTTGGATGAATTAGCGGGCGCTTGTTGGTTCTCTAAATTGGATTTGCGTTCCGGCTATCACCGACTGCCTTTAAGACGCATCATGGGCATTTTGAGTTTCGTGTGCTTCCTTTTGGGTTGACTAGTGCTCTAGCAACATTTCAGAGTATTATGAACTCGGTTTTAGCTCCATATCTGCGACGCAGTGTATTGGTGTTTGTCGATGACATCCTTGTTTATAGTCACTCTTTGGCAGAGCATGAAGTGCATTTGCGCCAAGTTTTGCAAATCTTATCTGATAATCACTTGAAGGTTAAGCAATCGAAATGTTCTTTTGCTCAGCCCCAGTTGGCTTATTTGGGTCATGTGATTAGTGCCGGTAGCTACTGATGAGGACAAAATTGTGGCTGTTCGGAATTGGATTACTCCTACATCAGTCAAAGAATTGCGCAGTTTTCTCGGGTTATCAGGCTATTACCACAAGTTTGTGCGCAATTATGGGATTATTTGTAAACCTTTGACTAACTTGTTAAGGAAGGGACAGTTGTTTGTCTGGACATCTGTTCATGAGGCTTTTGTTACTCTGAAATATGCCTTGATCTCAGCTCCTGCTTTGGCCATGCCAGACTTTCAGAAACAATTTGTTGTCGAAACAGATGCATCTGACAAAGGAATTGGTGCTGTCTTAATACAGTCAGATCACCCTATTGCTTCACCCTATTGCTTTTCTCAGTAAAGCATTAGGACCTCGCACTCAGGGTCTCTCTACTTATGAGAAGGAAAGTTTGGCAATTATCTTGGCTGTGGAGCATTGGAGATCGTATTTGCAACATGATGAATTTGTAATACGGACTGACCACCGTAGTTTGGCCTTCTTAGATAATCAACGATTATCCACCACTTGGCAACAGAAAGCTCTTACCAAGTTATTGGGGTTGCGTTATCGTATTGTCTATAAAAAGGGTTTGGAAAATGGAGCTGCTGATGCGTTATCTCGACAATCTCCTGTTGATATGGTGGAGATTTTGGCGCTATCTGTCAGTATTCCTGCTTGGCTGCAGGAGGTACCTCTGGGATATGCTAATGATTCCGACACTCAGCGGATTCTCACTTCTCTGCTTAATAATGGAAAGCATCATGCACATTATGAATTGCAATCTAATATCCTGTATTTTAAGAAAAGGATTTGGATTGGTAACAATAAATCTTTGCAACAGCAAATTCTGGCCAATTTGCATACTGCAGCTGTGGGTGGACACTCTGGTAATTTGGCTACTTATCATCGAGTGAAGCAACTTTTTGCTTGGCCAGGTTTAAGGCAATCTGTGCACAATTTTGTTCAGGCTTGTGATGTTTGTCAACGAGCTAAGTCTGAGCATATCAAGTTACCTGGGCTATTACAACCTTTGGAAGTACCTGATCATGCTTGGCAAGTAATTTCAATGGATTTCATTGAGGGTTTACCGTTATCAGACCATTGCAACGTCATTTTGGTCATTGTGGACAAATTTTCGAAGTTTGCTCACTTTTTGGCTCTTCGACATCCTTACACAGCTTTGTCTGTCTCAACTTTTTATGGATCACATACATTGCATTCATGGTCTGCCTCGTGCCATCATTTCTGACCGAGATCGGGTATTTACTAGCACTTTGTGGAAGGAATTATTTTTAAGAGCTGGCACTCAATTGCGAATGAGTTCTTCTTATCATCCGCAAACTGATGGACAAACGGAGAGAGTTAATCAATGTTTAGAGACATTTCTTCGTTGTTTTGTGCATTCTTGTCCCAAACAGTGGAAGCATTGGTTAGGAATGGCTCAGTTTTGGTACAACTCTTCTTACCATTCAGCCATTGCTATGACTCCTTTTGAAGCATTGTTTGGTCATAAACCATCCTATTTCGGATTAACTATTACTGCCATTGATGCTCCTATGAGTTTGGCTTCCTGGTTGACTGATCGCAATAACATGAGTGCTTTGATTCATCATCATTTGCTGCGGGCTCAGCAACGCATGAAACATCAAGCAGATTTACATCGGTCTGAGCGTATCTTCACCGTGGGTGATTGGGTGTTCCTTAAGCTCCAACCATATGTGCAGCAATCTGTCATGACCAGAGCCAACAGGAAATTATCCTTCAAATTTTATGGACCTTTTCAAGTCTTGCAACGAGTGGGCAGTGTGGCTTACAAGTTGGATTTGCCGTCTACAAGTATGATCCATCCTGTGGTGCATGTCTCTCAACTGAAGAAGGCATTGGCACCAGCTGAAAAAGTTCAGGCTTCTCTTCCCACGCTGGATTCTGAATTTGGTCCATTAGCTGTTCCTCATCGTATTTTGGAACGCCGCCTTCGTCAACGGGGTGCCAAACTAATTGAACAAGTTCAGGTTGAATGGAAGGGTACTTCTTCTCCAGCTATTACATGGGAGAATCTTGAGGAACTTCGTCACAAGTTTCCAGCTGCACCAGCTTGGGGTCAAGCTGGTTCTCAAGGAGGGAGGAATGTCACGCCAGAGCATTCGTCATCAGACTCGGGCGCGGAAGGAAGGATCAAATCAAGTGGGCCGTCGACTACCGCTCGGCCCAGACGGGAGAGGCGCGACAACCCGCGCGTGAAGGGGAAGGATTGGGTCCAGTAGCTTCTGGCTAAGTCTATAAATAGATTACCCTTGTACTGAAAGAAGTGAACTGTATTGAACAAACATATTCTGAATACCAATCCCTTCCCCTTCTCCAAGTCTGTATCTGCTCTGTTCTTCTCTGTTCTTCTCTATTCCTTCCAAATTCCAGATTCTATCTCTAATTCTTCTTGCTGAGATCTCGGTTCGTAACAAGCATCTCGTCATGCAGTTCAACAATCTCACTGGGACACTTCCTCCCTGCGCCGGCAACAGGCTGCCCCGCCTCAAGGTGCTCAGTGTCGACAGAAACCAGCTCCATGGTGCCATTCCGGTCTCTCTCTGCAATTCCTCCAAGCTCGAAGTGATCCAGATGATGAAGAATTCCTTCTCAGGAGTCATCCCGGATTGCCTTGGAGCTCACCTCCAGAACCTGTGGGAACTGACCCTGGATGATAACCAGCTAGAAGCAAATTCTGATTCCGATTGGAGATTTCTGGACAGTCTGACAAATTGCAGCAATCTGAAGGTAATTGGTCTGGCTGGAAACAAGCTGCGAGGACTTCTTCCGGGCTCGATTGCGAACCTTTCGACGAGCATGGAGTTCTTGAGCATATACAACAACATGATACATGGGCAAATACCTCAGGGAATTGGCAACCTTGTCAACCTGGACTCGATTTACATGCATCTGAATAACCTTGCTGGCACCATTCCTGACTCAATTGGCAAGCTTAAGAAGCTGAGTAACCTGTACTTGTATGACAACAACTTGTCAGGGCAAATTCCAGCAACAATTGGCAATCTTACCATGCTGAGCAGACTATCCCTCAACGAGAACATGCTAACTGGCTCCATACCATCCAGTCTTGGCAACTGCCCTTTGGAGACACTGGAACTGCAAAACAATCGCCTCACTGGTCCAATACCCAAAGAAGTTCTCCAGATATCTACTCTCTCCACCTCTGCCAATTTCCAAAGGAACATGCTAACAGGATCATTGCCATCAGAAGTTGGTGACCTGAAAAACCTCCAAACTTTGGATGTATCTGGAAATAGGTTAACTGGGGAAATTCCTGCCTCTCTCGGCAATTGTCAAATCTTACAATATTGCATCATGAAAGGAAATTTTCTTCAAGGAGAAATTCCATCCTCAATCGGACAATTGAGGGGTCTCTTGGTTCTTGATCTATCAGGAAACAACTTGTCTGGTTGCATTCCGGACTTACTCAGTAACATGAAAGGTATTGAACGCCTGGATATCTCCTTCAATAACTTTGAGGGTGAAGTTCCAAAACGTGGAATATTTCTTAATGCCAGTGCCTTTTCGGTCGAGGGGATCACTGGCTTGTGTGGGGGTATCCCTGAGCTGAAATTGCCACCTTGCTCAAACTACATCAGTACTACCAACAAGCGATTGCACAAGCTTGTCATGGCCATCTCCACAGCCTTTGCCATTCTGGGTATTGCTTTACTGCTTGCACTATTTGTATTCTTTCGTCAAACAAGGAATTCAAGAAAGGGAGAGCATGCCTTACTGCTCATCAGTGATCAGCATGTCAGGGTTTCATATACTGAGTTGGTGACTTCAACAAATGGTTTTGCTTCTGAGAACCTCGTAGGTGTTGGAAGCTTCGGCTCTGTCTACAAGGGAACAATGATGAGCAATGAAGAAGAGGTGGTTGTCGCTGTGAAGGTGCTCAACCTCCAGCAGCGAGGAGCATCCCAAAGTTTTGTTGCGGAATGTGAGACTTTGAGATGTGCTAGACACAGGAACCTTGTGAAAATTTTGACGGTGTGCTCGAGCATTGATTCGAGAGGTCTTGATTTCAAAGCCATTGTATTTGATTTTCTACCAAATGGAAACCTACACCAGTGGCTGCACCCCAGGGAACATGGCAACCAAACTGGACTTAGTCTTATCCAGCGGATCAACATTGCCATTGATGTAGCTTCAGCACTTGAATATCTTCACCAATATAGACCAGCCCCAATAGTTCATTGCGATTTTAAGCCAAGCAATATTCTCCTTGATAATGACATGGTTGCCCATGTTGGTGATTTTGGGCTTGCGAGATTTGTTGATCATGGTCAACATAGCCTCCCAGATATATCAAGTGGTTGGGCTACAATAAGGGGAACCATTGGATATGCTGCTCCAGGTCAGGTTCAAGCTATACCCTATATACATGTTCTCTACAAATTTCTATAGATTCATTTCTCCCTTTTGTAATCATTGCATGGTAAAAAGCACTACCATACACCTGCAAGTAAAAATTAACTTTACTAAAAAAACAAAACAATATTAGTAGACAAAATGCTAAAACTTGTTTTATTTGATGAAGATAGTAGCGATTTATATGGTTGCAATATTTATGTGTCTCAAACCAGAGTATGGACTCGGCAACAAAGTCTCGATCTACGGCGACACATACAGCTTCGGAGTACTACTGCTGGAAATCTTCACAGGAAAAAGGCCAACGGATGCTGATTTCGCGCAAGATCTCAGCCTTCACAGGTATGTGCAGATCGCGCTGAGAGATCACCAAGTCGCCAGCGTGATAGACGAACAGCTACTACTGTCAGTACAAGACGGCGAAAATGAAGGAAGAGCATCCAACAGCTCCAGTAGTAGTAGCAGCACCAGAGAAGTGATTATTGCGTACATCGCTTCGATTCTGCAGATTGGAATTCGGTGTTCGGAGGATGTTCCAACAGATCGCCTGCTGATCTGTGATGCCCTGAGAGAGCTTCAGGGGTTAGACGACAAGTATCGCGTGCACCTACGAATTGGGGGAAGATGATAAAGACCTGTTTGGCATAAAGGATTTCCAACCACCCCCAATATATATTTGAGAATTCTGTGTTCAGAATAGATCCCAGATGCTTTGACTGCAACTGTTAAAAGAAATGCTAATATTTTGGAATCGAGGGAATTTGCAAGCATTGATTTTAGCAAACCGTTTTGTCAATCGTTGTAATTTCCAGTATACATAATCCCGCTACTAGTAGTAAAATGTTGTGATGGTCTCTACACTTTTTTGCGGTTGTAAATCCGATCCTTCTTGTGTATGCTGTACGTTTCTTGATAATAGAACCAATTTTTCAAGCTATAAAATAGGGATAGTTAGCTACTTGTCATGGTAAAAGATGTAACATTATCATTTTGAGTAAAATGGTGGCTTTTTTATTAGGAACTCAAAGAAACAAGTGACATCTATAAAATAGGGATATATTAGGGACTGGATGGAGTGCCAAGGAGCAAGAAAAATGATCTTAATCAGAGAGGGATATTTTGCAGTTTTACATCCTACTAGCAATATGTTTGTGCGTTATAACGGAATTCATGAAAAGATGGTTCAATGGTTTTAGAGGACAACTTAGAAGCTAAAACCAAAAACTCTACATATCCCAGCGTATTTATACAATACGAACTTGTGGAGGCGTGTTTGCGTGTGTATATACAACATAAAATAGTAGAATAAAGCGAATCGATATGAAATAACCTTGATAATTGATAGATCTACTACTACCTTCTCTTCTCCCAGAAAGATCGCAGTTTTACACCAGTTTTACACTGTTTATATTTAATGTTTGATTGTCCGTCTTATTTAAAAATTTATTATGATTATTATTTTATTATTATTAAATGATAAAACATTAATAGTATTTAATGTGTAATTTTTTTAATTGTTTTTTAATTTTTTTAGATAAGATGGACGGTAAAGCATTGGACAAGAAAACCCACAACTGCACTTAAAATGGTACGGAGATAATACTATGCTTCGGTAGTAATCAGGTTTTAACAAAATGTTGAATTTCCGTTTTCTTTTTTCCTCCGGTAATCGTCCTATCACTTGCACTCCTATTCTTTCACTTATTCGCTTATTCAAATAGCTTATTAACAAATAAAATATAATTTATGAGTACAACTTTTATATATATGTATCCTTAGTGAATTAAAAGAAAATATTGTAAAATAAATTACGATGAAAAAATAAAAATAAAATTAAAATTAAAATTTCTAAAATTGAAAATTTAACTTATGTTATAAACATAAGGCACGCAATGAGCCAACCCTCCAAATTTTGGTTGAACCGGATAGACGGACCAGACAAACCGACCCCACCCCACTACGGCCGCGTCCCGCTCGGTCGCCGGAGACACCATGGCCTCGCCGCTCGCCGGCGTCGTCCGGCTCGCCGCCGCCTCCCGCGCGCTGCTCCTCGCCCTCTCCCTCCTCTCCCGCCTCCTCTTCCGCCCCTACGACACCTCCGCCTCTCTCCACCCACCCTGCCTCCTCCCCTCCCCCTCCCCCAACTCCACCACCACCGCCGCCAACTCCATCGCCTCCCTCGCCGTGTGGGACGGCGTCCACTTCCTCCGCGCCGCCGAGTGCGGCTACGAGTACGAGCAGTCCTTCGCCTTCCTCCCGCTCCTCCCGGCCTCGCTCAACCTCCTCGCCCGATCCGGTAAGTCGCCCCCGCGCCTCGAGTGAGTTCGCCTCGGGATTGCTTGGTTTTGATCTGATCTGGTGGTGCTGGCTTGGCAGTGCTCGCGCCGCTGGTGCCCGTGCTGGGGTACAGGGCCGTGCTCGTGGTCTCCGGCTACGTTCTCAACAACGTCGCGTTCGTCGCCGCCGCGGCCTACTTCTACAGGTGAATCTTCTACATCGATGTTAAATTGCTGGTCGTGCGAATTTAGTAACAGAATTTTGGGCTTTTGTTATGGCGCATTTGCTAAGTTTTTAGTAAGATTAGGTTCAAATATAAGGTTCTCTTAGTGTGATTTAGTGGGGTAAATTGGTGCTTTTAGGATGTTGGAAATTTTGGAGGTTTTTTTCATGAGAATTAGAGGGTATTTACTTCACTATTGTAATAAAAATAATACTGCTGGCTTCGTTTTCGGCATATCAATCAGAATTTTAGGCTGTTTAAGAGTACTAGTTGTTCGGTTGGTGCTTAAAGCATTCGCCTGTTCCTTGTACATTTTTGTGGGTTCAAGATGCTTAGGCGCTTTTTTGCTCATTTGGGATAACTGATAACGCTATTTTTGCAAATGTTCCACTATTGCCGAATGTTTCATGCATTTCTGAAATGACTAAAATCCTCGTTTTTCAGATTGTCCGTGCTGATCTTGAAGAGCCCGAGTGCTGCTTACCGAGCATCTGTTCTCTTTTGCTTCAACCCTGCTTCTGTGTTCTACTCATCACTGTAACTTTCTTTCCCTCTTCACCCAATTGCCAGAATAAGCAAAGTGTGTACCTTTTTTAGGGCAAGAAAAACTCATCTAACTACAATATCCTAATAGCAACATAAATTGTTGTTCATTGCAGGTACTCAGAGAGTCTATATGCTCTGTTTTCACTTGGGGGAGTATTCTACGTGTTTACCGGTGCTAATACCATTGCAATGATAATGCTCGCTCTCTCCGGTTCAGCTAGATCAAATGGAGCACTTAATGCTGGTTATTTCTGTTTTCAGGCTTTGCTACATGCATATGATGCTGCTTTCCAGAAGAAACAGCCCATGGTAGGTTTAGTGTTAGATTGCTTTATGGTTTCTCACAGTTTCACACCGTGCTTATTGTAACTAGCTGGCCTGAAGGCACCACATGACAAAATGCAACTTTGATCTTTGCAAAGTTTCGTTGTGCTACATAAGATGCTAGTGCCAATGATTATCTGACTATATTTTCTTCTTTTTTTTCCTGTCCCAAGCTGGCAGTACAGGTTCTTGTCACTGGATTTTTGCGGTCTGTTTTTGTATTTATTCCGTTCTTTGCTTTCCAAGCATACGGATATCTGAACATATGCCTACACGGGAATATGGAGGAACTGAGACCATGGTGCAAATCTAAAGTGCCTCTTTTGTATGGTTTCATTCAAAGTCACTACTGGTAATTGTTTCTTTGTCAAAGTTAACTTCATCAGTATTAACTTCATAATTTATTTCAAAGCTATCTATTGTTTTGTCCCATTTTCTTGATCTTACCAGCTAGATACGCAGCAGCTGCTTCTCAGAATACCATGTGGTATGTTAGGGGAAGGCAAAATTCATTCATGTTTACGGTCATCAGAATTTATTATAATAATCTCTGCTGAAAATCATGTGTATATCCTGTAAACCATTATTCAAGCATGTGTATATTCTTTCCCTGTACTAAATCACATGTTTTTAATACCTTTTTTGGGTTTATCATTTCTAAGTTTGACACTATTATCATTTCTGTCTTTTCAGGGGGGTTGGTTTCTTGAGGTACTTTCAAGTGAAGCAGCTTCCAAACTTTCTTTTGGCTTCACCAGTTTTGAGTCTTGCAGTTTATTCTATTGTTCATTACACAAAAATGCTTCGCCAACTCTTTGAATCAAATAGCATACATGAACTGATTGTTGCTACGGTCGAGGGGAGATCAATTGAAGCATACAAAAGCTCAGATGTTGACACAGTATTAAAGAGTAAAGTTTCTACTAATGTAACTAACAAAGCACAAGGTACTACAATCTTATCTATTATTGATTTATTGAAAATCTTTCAACTTCTCTAAATATGCTGCTACTGAATTCTAGTATGTAACTTCTACCACTAAAGTTTTAAAGTGGCATAAAAAATAAGGAAATCTTAGACCTGTAAAAGCATTTACAGTGAATCGATCAAGTATTCAAGTGATATAGACTCCTAAAAATAATTATGTGTAAACCTTTTCTACAGACCTAACCCTTCATTAATTGAACAGGAAATGCAGTTGCTAAGAGGAGAAAATCAGTTGCTACCGAAACCGACTCAAATGACCAAATTATTGAAGTTAATAAGGATGTGTGCCCCATAGTAGTTCTTCCTTTCATTTTACATCTGGCATTCATGACATTCACTGCATTCTTTGTGATGCACGTCCAGGTCAGTGTAAATATTTTCAACACAATAAATTAGCTCATTTGGAGCTTCTACAGATTCCTTTGTTTACATCCCGTCTTTTGCTTTTACGGTGCAGGTCTCGACACGATTTTTATCTGCTAGTCCTCCAATTTACTGGGCAGCATCGCACATTTTGGTTTCTCCAAGCAGTTCTAAGAGATGGGGCAACATAATATGTGCTTATTTCATAGCTTATATTCTCCTTGGTAGCTTGCTTTTCTCCAATTTCTACCCGTTCACATGAAAATAGTTATGTCAATTATATGATCCGACGATCCACGCTGTAATGGATTGGTTTGCGCAATTTTTATTTATCATTGCGTGGATGATGGTAACTAGTTTTTGAAGATTCTCCTAGGTAAAGCTGTAAAATCAAAGATGTTTTGATTATTATTCTGTGATGAACAATTGGCATTGGAGATTATTGGTTTTGTTATTTGGAATTTATTCACGAAGTGGTTTTGGAGATGATCGGATTTACAGGTGAATCGCAGGTTTATCATTTTATGTGGACCGGTCAGACCGGGCTCTGGTAGCCGGTCAGACCGGCGTGTATCGCACGGTCAGACCGGCGCACTCCGCGGTCTGACCGGCCGACACTGTGTCGGTTTCGGTTTCGGGTTGTTTATTTGGATATCCGAGTTTATTCCATGATTATGACTTCTAGATGGATACTATACATATGTAATACTATTGTTTGCTGCTAATGAGTCAAATTGGAGATAGCTTGGTCTCGGAATATGGTTTCTTTGTTTGTTCCATGTGTAGGTGACTCGATGTCTTGGGAGAGTATTTGCGGTGATGGACCGGGAGTCGGCTTGGGGATAAGACGACGTCCGTGGTGGTCAAAGATCATGCGGGATTCTTAGGCAAGAGTTGATGCACGTGGTTGATGGAGATTCCATATGGCATACGATGGAGTTATTGTGTGCGTATGGGATGTGGAGTCGAATTTGGAAGGAGTCCAAATTTGGTACGATTGGTTATGTAAAGTTTCTTTCTTGTACTAGAGGGTTTCCTAAGGTGTTTAGGACTCCTAGTATGAGTTTGGTTCGTGGCTTTAGGCTGCCTACCTCATGTATAAATAGAGGGGGGAGCGTGAGGCTTCCCGGTATCGCTTTAGAGAGCAATAGAGTTGAGTTTTGAGTTAGGGTTTTGAGTTTAGTCGAAATTTTTGTAAGGAGTGCTGTTGGTGCACTTTGTAAACACAGAGAGAATCAATAAAGTCGTCATCCACTTTAAGAGTTCTTCGATTTGTGTTTATCGGGTTTCGGCGGTCTAACCGGCGATCTACCGGCGGTCAGACCGGCGGCATACGGGCGGTCAGACCGGCGGCGGCGACAGGCGCAGCAGGCGACTTCGGCGGTTAGACCGGAGATTCAACACCTGGTCAGACCGACGGCATCGACTCGGTTAGACCGGCAGAACAACTTCGGTCAGACCGATCTCCATCGATTTCGAGGATAACTTTTATTTCCGCTAAAAGTTTTCGGTTTTTGGGTATACCAACCATTCACCCCCCCTCTGGTTGGCTTAGTTCTTGTGATTCGATCCTACAAAAGCGTCCCTGTACAGCTGATGTATCCTTTGCGATTTGAATTTTGAGCGTGAAACTTGTTTGAACTGTTGTTGCATCCTTTGCAATTTGAATTTTGAGCGCGAAACTTGTTTGAAATGTTGTCTTGAACAAAAGATGGAAGAATCTTCCCATCGGGTGCCCGATACCCCCCAAACAAAATCGGTCAGTCAAATATCAGTTGACCAACGAGTGAAGCATCAAATTATATATGGTGAAAAAAAAAACAAAAAATGAAGCATTTAAAAATTTTGTGAAACACGGTGAAAATACATGTTGAAACATGTCGCTATTACATATGAAGCAACACGTGTTAACGGATTGAAACATACGTTTTTCTTTCATCAAAATATAATCATGCGATATCTTGTTATAAAGATTTAATTGTAACGAATAAAACGGTGTGATCGAATCTTAGATTGGATAAGTAGTTTAGGAAAAAAAATTGCTTTGAAGCTCGCTAAATGTATGCAAGCATGCATGGATGAGGTAGATAGAGAGGAGAGAGTAGTAACAAGTAGTTTCAGGAATCTTAGCTTGTGAAACATGTTGAAGACAAATATTGAAACATATCACCATCATGTATAAAACGTCGAGTGTTAACGGTTTGAAACACATGATTTTCTTTTAACATAATATAATCATATGATATCTTGCTGTAAATATTTAATTGCAACGAATATAACGGTGTGATAGGATCATAGATCGGATAAGTATTTTAGAAGAAAAAAAATTAAAATGAGGAAGAAGGAAGGAGAGAACACAACTAACTGCCTATTTTACATGCATGCGATAGTGGCAGGGCGTCCGATCCATCGGTAGCTTCATTTACAACATTCTCGACAAAAGATACAAGATTTTTTTTTTCATTTTTCTGCCCTATTTAATGGAGTTGGAGATTTTAGATTTGAATTTTGAGCACGAAACTTGTTTTAACGGTTGTCTTGAACGAAAGATATGAGAGTTTGTTCATTTTTCTGCCCTGTTTAGCGGAGTTGGAGTTTTAAATTTAAATTCAAACGATAGAGAACTTGTTCATTTTTCTGCCCTGTTTAGCTAAGTTCGAGATTTTAGATTTGAATTTTGAGCGTGAAACTTGTTTGAACTGTTGTCTTAAAGATATGAGAGTTTCTAATGAAAGATATGAGTTTGTTCATTTTTCTGCCCTGTTTAGCGGAGTTGGAGTTTTTAAATTTAAATTCGAAAGATAGAGAATTTGTTCAACGAAAGATAACGATAATTTGTTCATTTTTCTGAGGAGTTGGAGATTTTGATAACCAACTGCTAAGTATCCTGCTAGGGAGAATCTAAATAAGGCATTGCATCTGCCAAATACGGAAGTGAAATCTATTGCATCTACCAATCTTGAGATCTACCAAACTTGAGCTCCATCAATCTATCATGGCAAGTAGAACCGTAGAAGCAGATCAAAGTGGCAATGACAAAAACATAACAAAAATTGTTGCTAGGGCTGTTGTGAATGCATGATTTTAAACATGACTATGTTTTTAACTTTTTTTAGATAAGCCAATGCTTCACCAGGGCTGCGAAAACGGAGGCCTAAGCTCACCGAATTTTGTACCACGACCATGGGTAAAAGTGGCACTAAGAGCGATGTGCTTATTGTGAAAGTTCAGAAAACCAATTAGTCAAAACTGTTAGCCTGAGTTTCAAAATCTAAAGAACATAATATCAACATCTCATGATGCCCAAAGGCGTGTCTTGAAAAAAAATAAAACAAGCTATGGACTTTTGCGCATAGAGGCTGACAGCTAAATTATTCATCGAACTTCAAGTCAGGTCTCATGGAGTCATGGAGATCTCCACCAAGGCTAGTTGCGTAGAAGCCGCGGGGTTTCATTTTTCACCTTAGAGCGGCAACTGGAACTTCTCGAAAACAAGTATGGCGACAATTGGTCCCGCGAAATCTCCCAATGTACAACCTGCAATCCAGCAGAAAAACAATGTCAGCTTAGTTCGGATTGGACCATCATTCTGACAGCTCTTCCGTAAAAATTATCACAATGCAACTTCTTGTATTAAAGGAAGACGGTAAATGGTTACTCACCAAGCCACTGTCCATGTACTGGATGCACAAGGACCCCAATGCCAGCTCCTATTGAGGCAAAAACCAAAGAGAACCCGCATTTGACGGTTATGCCGTATATCTTTTTCCCGAACAGTTTGACTTTGTCCATCTCATCAAACATTGCCTGATCATTGGAAGGCTTACCGAAAAAACATCTGTAAACCTCAACTATGGATTGCACAACCCAAGCAGCAGCAACTCCCAATGCATGCGCTGTTTTAAAGAAGAAAAAAATATGAGAAATGATCTACAAGTGGAAAATTGACAAATTGCAGGCAAAACTGACCTCGGAAAGTCGTTCTAGCAACACAATATGAGTACTCTTGGAAGGGCATCCCCCTTACAGATTTCCTCTTTGATGATTTTGAGGCATCTATAGATAGAACATAATTAAAACATATGGCATAAAACAGCGGTAAATGATAAACTGATAATATTTAACGCAATCACAAGATATTAAAAGCAAAACTTAAGATTAATTTGTTGACTGTTGAAACGTAGAAGCATCATAATACATATGACTATATGTGACATGACAAAACATATGAAGCTTATCATGAATAGTGATCTCAAAGCAGATAAAGTATGTGGCATATCTAAGATAAATTTGGAGGCGTGTATAAGCTTGAAGAGAGATAAGCTCTAGTGAGGCCAGCCATACTATATTGAACTAGGTTTTTCATGCACCCCGAGCTAAGGTCAAGTTTTAGGAAGTTAGTCACAGTTCATCCCAAACATAAAATTCTACTGTACTAACGTTCAGATGATACATGATCCTAAGATTGTCCAACTATGAACAAGCCAACAGATATTTGGGTAATATTATAACAGTAAAACAATAATCCACTATATAATATGCATGAGAAATAAAACTATAAAATTATAACAGTAACGATTTCTGTAGTCCAAGTGTTTGAATCACAAGTAAAAGCAAGACCTTTGAAAGTCAATATTATAGAGAATTTCTATTTTTAACTCATGGAAATGTCTTTGCAGAGTTACTCAATCAGAATAAAACCACATTGATTTGTAGTTAATCATACATGCCAACCTCCTGAATCCTAGTTTTAATCTAGACTAAGATCTTACTTAACCTACATGGCAAAGCCATTGGTTCACATTAAAATCCATTGGCTGTGAAATTGTTAATGTCATCTATAAATATTACTACAATAATTGCTTGCATGCGGTGCTTCTAATTGCAAACATTTGCAAAGTTTAGTCCACTTAGCTATATCAATAGCACATTATCATCTGTACAAGGATGCAAAAGCTAGATCGGAGGAGAGGAATGGCAAAACTCAAGTAAAATAAATTAACTGAAAAATGTACTTCATAATGTACTGCACAGGTAGCAAAAACATTTTCTTGAGAAAATCTACTACCTCCGTCCTAAAATATAAGACCCAAGACCCATCCAAACCTATCCATATTCGTCGTACTAGGAAATTTTACATCCGATCCTGGGTTCTTATATTTTGGGATGGAGGGAGTATAAAAAATGCATCTCGTTCTCCGACTTATATTTATGGACTTAAGGGAGCTGCACAGGTGTCTGCTTGGATGCCATAGCTCTTTCAAATTTAGTAGAATATCTGATAAATAGAAAAAAAAATATTACCCTTGAGAAGCTTCCATGCTGTTCTTTGTGAAACATGACAAACTGCAATCCTTTCCAATATTCTTCTGGTTGTTACAACAGAAGTCTGAAATGTAAAACAAGAAGAGCATAGTCAGTGACTTTTCCACCTCTGATTACGCAAACTAGTATTGACCTTTTAGGGCTTAACTTTTAGAATATATAAGCTAGGTTACACTCCAGTTTATAAGTTCAATGGCTTCAGCTTAGTTGGGACTTGTAGTGCAAGGTGGGCATAAGTTTATAGAAGGATCCCCAGGAAGCCGCTAACCTATTCACGAGAGCTTCAGTGGCCCAGGCCTTAAATAGGGTGTAACTTGAGGAAACTACTGTGGCTAAAATAGTAGTCCAGTTGAACAACTAAGATTGAGACAACAATAATTAAAAAAAATCAACAAACATCAATTCTGCCAGTTCAGTGAACAGGTACCTCACGGATGATTTGCTTCACTGAATTGTAGAAGGGAGTAACCAAATCAACAGGTGGCCTATTTTCAGACTCATCTTGAAGCAGGTCATCCTCATCATCACCATCAGTGTGCGGATGAGGTTCCAAAAGTGGCAAATAGTACAATAAGAAGGACCTCAGGGTTGTCAAGCTAAAATTCTTTAAAGCAAAGGCCGAAAAGAGTGGCTTCAACTCCAAGGGGTATTCCTTTATTGGGTACTGGAGGGAGTCTTGTATTTTGTCATTAAGACCATTAATAAGATCAGGAGCATCATTCAATCCAGTTGGTGCACCAGCATCACAATGGGCTATAGTAAACCCAGGGAAACTGAAGAAAAATGCAAAATTAATTGGGTATTAGCTCAACAGAACAAAAAATAAGAAGCAAAGAAAAAAAAATATATATAAACATGTCTTATAAGAATCAGAAAATGTCTGTAGTCAGGTGTATTTGTGCATTTTCCTATGGCAGTGGAGAAATCTTTTATTACATTCATTAGTTAGCCTAGGTGCATGGCTTATTAGCGAATACAGTGCTAAAAGAAAAATCTTAATTCACATTTGCAAAAATATGTAATACTATTGTAATTCTTTTAGCATCATTAGATGGGCGAGGGTAGTGGACATTCACATTTAATTTCAGCTTAAATATGCTTGTTTCAGCTATGACCATCAAGTGAGAAAAGTTCTAACCTTTATATGATGAAAAGTGGTAGTGTAAACACAAATAAGAGAAGGCAAAACATATATTGTCAATAAAACATTAAATTCGAACTAGCAGGTAAAGCAGTTTGTAGAAATCCCAAAGTTGAACAAAACACTTACATGCTATTGATTAAGACCATGAATGATACATTAAGGTGGTGTTTGGATCCAGGGACTAAATCTTAGTCCCTGTCACATCGGATGTTTGGACACTAATTAGAAGTATTAACCATAGACTAATAATAAAACTAATTGCATAAATTAGAGCTAATTCGCAAGACAAATTTTTTAAGCCTAATTAATCCATAATTAGCACATGTTTACTGTAGCATCACATAGGCTAATCATGGATTAATTAGGCTCAACAGATTCGTCTCACGAATTAGTCTATGGAATGGGTTTTGTTATTACTCATTACTCTACGTTTAATACTTCTAATTAGTGTCCAAACATCCAATGTGACAGAGACTAAAGTTTAGTCCCAGAATCCAAACACCACCTAAATACAAAAATTGTCTTTATTTGTTTGCATCACTGTTGGTTGGAAAATCATGATGATGACCAGACAGATAATTATTAAACCAAGAGAAAATTACAACAACAAAAGCCAGCTAAATGGCAAACACTTCAGCTCTATGAGCAAGTGACTGCTATGACAACCTAACAAGAATCATTAAACATAAAAAGACAAGCTATCTGAACTTCCATAAAATGTAAAATGCAAAGTATGGGATCAACAGAAGCATTATTACTACTACGTCCAGTCACAAAAACATGTTGTTTTGGACATGTTTCAAGTCAAACTTCATAAATCTTGAACATCAATATATTTTAAGATTGGAGGCATGAAAATTATACCTGTAAATGAGAAATGACTCTACTACTTAAACACATCATGCACCTCATCTACCGAATGCCGTGCAAAGAACTAGGCTACCTAACTTTCTCCTATATAACACATGAACTACCACAGGAGCACCAGTAACAGAGCATTTACCTTCCACATCTGCATTAAAAGAACACATCTTTGATCTAAACCCACAAGTGCAACAAAGGCAAATATGCCGCACTATGCTACTCCTAATCAACACACCATGCTATCGACAACATCATCAAGAGCTCTACATCTACATGTGAGGACGGGATTCCTGGTTCTCCGGAGGACCTCCCGCTCCACTAGCAAGTCAACATTGGGGATCGAAACAAGCACTACCGCTTGATAGTCGATAGCAGGGGGGAAAAAGAAAGAAAGAAAGAAAAAGAAAAAAAAGAGAGGAGAAAATCCCTAGCTAGACAAGACGACGATTGGTAGTCGATAGGCAACAGGTGGGTGAGGAGGGGACAGTAGTGGGGAGGAGACGAACCCGAAGAGGTGGCGCGCGGAGAGGGGGATGCCGGTGGCGGAGAGCGCGGCGGCTGCGGCCGCGGCGGCGGCGGCGGAGGCGGAGATCGCGGAGTGGGCGTGGACCCCGGAGGCGTAGCGGGGGCCGCGGGAGGCGAGGTCGAGCAGCAGCGCGATGCCGACCGCCATCGTGGCTGGGGCAGGGGGATCTCTCTCTCTCGCGCGCGCGCGCGCGTGACGACGCGGGGCGGCGGCGGCGGCTGGTCGGAGGAGTGTGGACTCGCCGGCGTGGAGCGGAGGAAGCCCGGAAGGCGAGGCGGAAGGTGGAAGAGGTGAGGCGGGCCGGGGTGGGCTTTTTGTCGGTGTGGTTGGGTTGGGCCGTGATCGACTCGAATTCCGCGGCGTGTCCGATCCGGCCTTTGCCTTCTTCCGCGATTCAGACTAGGTTACTACTGTACTGCCTATGGGGGAGAAGGAATACGGGGCTACAAGCTCCGTGTTTAATTTTCAGGACTTTTCGAATCAGTGACAAAAACGGTGACAAAAACTTTTGACCGATCGAGTATACTCCCTCCGTTTCAAAATGTTTGACACCGTTGACTTTTTAGCACATGTTTGACCGTTCGTTTTATTAAAAAAAAGTTTGTGAAATATGTAAAACTATATGTGTACATGAAAATATATTTAACAATGAATCAAATGATTACTTAAATTTTTTGAATAAGACGAATGGTCAAACACGTAATAAAAAGTCAACGGTGTCAAATATGTTGAAACAGAGGGAGTAGTTTTTAGAGTAAATTTTACAAAACTACATGTTTTGTGGTCTAAGTTGCAGAAAACTACACGCACTATGACACTTGACACTTGAGTACATATATTTTGGTTGTGTAGTTTCATAAAACTACACTATCGATGTATAGATTCTCCCGCGAAATGATGCGGCTGTTTCACTTAGGACGAGGACATGGCATCCTATTATCAGCCATCGCACGAAATTAATATGATGCCACGTCCTCATACTAGATGAAACAACCACGTCATATCACGGGTGAATCCATTCATCGATAGTGTGGTTTTGTGAAACTAAACTATCAAAATATATGTACTTAAATGCCAAGTGTCAAAATGTGTGTGGTTTTCTGCAACTTGAACCATAAAACATGTAGTTTTGTGAAATTTACTCTAGTTTTTAACAGTGGAACTGTTTTCGGTTCTAGGTGTATACAAAACTAGATGATTCCCCGTACTTTGCTGCGGGAATTACTAAGTAATCTTTGATATGTTTTTGTTGCCAATAATTGAGCTAGAAGTAAAAAAAGGATATTAGTTATTAACAACAAATAAAACTGAATTGTCAAACCATTTTTGAGACAAATAAAGGTGTTTGAAACTTATGTAGATGAAGATGAAAATTAAGTGTTTTACGTAAAACGAGGTGGTATTAACGTATGATTAATTGAGTTTTAATTATTACAAACTTGAAAAATATATTTATCTCATATTTTAGAGCAACTTCCATATAGAAAGTTTTTGCACGAAACACACTGTTTAGCAGTTTGAGAAGCGTGTCATGAATATCCAAATTTTCATCTAACTTTTGTTAAAGAAAAGAACGGGAAGGAGGTCGTAGATGAAATATTAGATTGTAGTCCAATCTTACTCGCAAGAAGTGGAATGTAAGAAAATTTTGATGAAAAGTCATGGTTTATTATTACTAATTACAAAAAGAAACTGAAAGTCAGGGTTTATTAATACTAATTATAAAAGAAACTGAATGATATCCTATACATGCTTTGATGCAGAATATATGAACGGATACATGTTAAGTATTATAAAAATGATGGATAGATCTATGTTGAAATACTATGAAAATAATATGTGGGATGATGATTGGATATGCTTGCATATTGATTTGTACAACTTAATAAAATTGTGGCTGATCGATGTTTCATGCTTGCATGAGTTTTGATATGTAATTTTTGCTAGTAGATAATGAGATGGAATGCTTGCATATTGAGTTTTAGATTTAATGGGTTGTAACTATATATATATGTATACATATATATATATATATGTATATATATATATATATATATGTATATATATATATATATATATATACATATATTGAGTTTTAGATTTAATGGGTTGTAACTATATATATATATATTATATATATATGTATACATATATATATATACATATACATACATATATATATATATGTATATGTATATGTATATCTATGTATGTATGTATGTGTATATATATATATATATGTGTATATCTATGTATGTATATGTATATACATGTATATACATCTATATGTGTATGTATATATATATATATATATGTATATATATATACATGTGTATATATATATATGTGTATATATATATATATATATATATATATATATGTGTGTGTGTGTGTGTGTGTGTGTGTGTGTGTGTGTGTGTGTGTGTTGTGTGTGTGGGGGGGGGGATATACATTGCATTATTCTATTCTTCAAGATTCGTATTACAATCAGTATTTAATTAAAAAAAATTAAAATAGTTAAATTGATAAATGTGGTTGATTTCCATGGAGATTTTGTGGAGACGCTACATTTTTTCTTACCATTTTTACCCTAGTTGGAAGGAATTTAAAATGAGTCGTAAAGAATTTCATTCTTAGAGAAAATTTTCAATGCACCGTTTGAGACAACATGATTTTATAAGTCTAATAGTTAAATGGAATAACCGAACTATATATAGCTGCAATATAATTCATATGTAACTAAAGCAATCTTGTGTCTGGCCGGGTAGCTAGCGGCACCGAAGTCCATATGTAACATGTTTGACTATAAAAAAATTTAAAAGTTTGGGAGGCGTTCGGTTAAGATTATTGTATCTTAATTTGCTACAACAACAGTAACTGAACACCCCATGGAGAGGAAAAGAACATCAAGAGTTTTCTAGCAATTTCGTAGTTAAGACCACTTTCACCGTTTCACGATAGATTGTGCTCACACGTAAATAACAATGAATTAAAATTTGAGTAATATATGGTCATATGAGTAGAATCTTCTTCAGCATTACGAAAACACACAAGCACACATCAGTACACACAAAACGAACACAAACAGAGGGAACCTTTACAATGATAGCTGGGCTATCATCATGAAATTGTCCAAATTCATTTTTCCTTGGTGACTTCCTTTTTTTACTTATTATTAGGAAATTTTTTTTTGATATATTTGAAAAAACCTATGTTTTCACAAAATAAATATATCTATATATTCAGGAATTAAATGTGGAGCTATGCCTATGTAGAGTTGGCTAGGGGAATTTTGGTCAGACCGTCAGATCATGCGGGGATGAAAAAAATGTACCTAGCAAATTAATCGATACTAATATGATGCCTATGTATTATATTGCAACTGAAATTGAAGTTTATGGATATTTTTCTATGGAGGAATCTACGAATCAGGCATCCGATTTCCTAAAAAAAATCGGATAGTCAAATGTATTAGTTGACTACCGGTGAAACATTACATTATATATGGTAAAAAATCAGCAACTGAAATATTTAATAAATTTATAAAACATAGTAAAGACACATATTAAAACATATCGCTATCACGTATGAAACATTGAGCTTTAACGGTTTGAAACATATGTTTTTCTTCTATTAGAATATAATCACGCAATATCTTGTTGTAAATGTTTAATTAAAACCAATATAGCGATGTGATCAGATCGTGAATGAGATAAGTAATTTATGAGCATATCATTTTAAAGATCGCTAAATGCATGTATGCACGGATGGTGTGGAGAAGGAGAGCAAGTAATAGGACATGAGAGAGAGGAGGGGCGGGTATTTGTGTGAATTTTGTGAAACACGGCGAAACATGTCGCTATATATCTTGTATGAAACATATAGTTTTAACTATTTGGAACATATATATGTGTTTCTTTTATCAGACATGCGATATCTTGTTGTGAAGATTTAATTAAATTGAATACCATGGTGTAATTAAATCATAGATCATATAAATAGTTTAGGAGAAAAACTATTTGAAGTGAGGAGGAGAAATAAGCCAGCTTGGTGTAGGCTTCACCGTACCATGGTGCAGGTGTCCGATTTTTCTTTTCTTATGGGACACCCAAGAGTAAGTATTCTCCTTTTTCTATGGGCCCATGCAACAACAGAGAAGCACTATCTAACTGTATTTTAGTTAACCAACAACTACTTTTTTTTTCTAAAGAGAGATATATTAATGACTGAAGGGATTACATTCCTGCAAGAATATAAAGCCTCCATCTCGCACAAGGCACGATACTCATCGCCAGTTGCCCTAAAACATGTGCTACCCTATTTACTTCTCTTTATCTTATGTATTTGCACCTTCTGAAGGCAGCGCATCACATCTTTTACTTCTGGAATGCATCGCTGCCTAGGAAGATCTTGACGAGCCTTGCTCGTTTAAAGCTTGGGCAACCTCCGCATTGCTTTAGTTAACCAACCACTTGTTTTCTTTAACTCATATTTATTCTAGTTTTCTCAATGGAGGTGATGGTTGCGGGAGGTGTGAGAGATGAGTGGAAAGATGACTCCACTATATGAGTTACTATCCTCAATTAATAAAATGCTATGAAATCAAGGGATGTCATCCGACGAAATAGTATATAAAGATAGTGCAAACATAGATGCATCAATATTCCTCAATTGAGAATCAAAGGATTGTTTTTTGGAAGGCAAAAAAGCTTAATTATGCGTTGTTTTTTCTTTTTCCGAATAGAGAAGAAACATGAATTAAAATATACTCTAGATAATATAATTATACTTTGCGACAACCGTATATTTTGGTTCTCTTTTATTTTTCCCTTTTTTTTCTAGAATACTCCCTCCAGGATGGTAACATTATTTTGTTTCATCACGAAATACTATTTAGGTCTGTTATTTTTCTCACCTATAATATAACACTTTATTGTACTAAAGTTGCAATGATCGATGCATGGCCACAACTCTTTCACAGCAAGAAACATGTTTTCTTACCTTGATATCTGGACAACAAAACTATTTATATTCACTAATAATTTCATTGACCCTCAACAACTGTTTCTTTAAAGGCCTAGGTTCCTAGCTAGCTAATTAATTAGATAATTTGGCATTAGGCATCCCCTTATCCTACTCTTAGGAAACCTCTACAATGCTCCTACCAACACATAGTTTAGTGAATTAGTGCTAATCACTTGGTATCATGCACAATGAACTCAACAAATAAGAAGCATTGCTCCTACAATGGGCACATTAAAACCTAACAGTACACCTTGGGAGCACAATCCT